GGGGGGGGTGCGGGAGTCGGTCGTGGCCTATCCTGCACAGCGAGCTCAGGGAGGCGGGACCTGGAGTCGGTCGTGGCCTATCCTGCACGGCGAGCTCTGTGAGGCGGGACCTGGAGTCGGTCGTGGCCTATCCTGTATGGGGATCGCAGGGGGTCGGGCCTGGAGTAGGTCGTGGCCTATCCTGCACGGCAAGCTCAGGGAGGCGGGGCCTGAGTCGGTCGTGGCCTATCCTGCACAGCGAGCTCAGGGAGGCGGGACCTGGAGTCGGTCGTGGCCTATCCTGCACGGGAGCGCAGGAGGGCGGGACCTGGACTCAGTCATGGTCTCTCCTGCACTGGGTGAACAGGAGGGCGTGGCGTGGGTTGTAACTTATCCTGCACCGGAAGCGTCTGAGGGCGACACAGGGGCTGGACTGTACTTACAGGGGGCGAGGCGACGCGCAGAGACTGGCCTGGGTATGGAATGCGTGACAACCCGGCATGTGCTGCTTTTCCCTCCGCCTGGCTCCTGGCGGTCTATTTTCCCCGGTTAGAAGTCAAGTACTGTCAGTGAGACCGAAACCATCAGCTCAAATGGTCTGCGATTTCACTGGTGTTGTCAATTTAAGGCATTGCTTAGATCCAAGATAGTCACTATAATTAAAGGTTAATTTAAGGAATTTGAATTAAAAATCCTTGGAGAGCTGGGCACAGTGGTGACTACTTGTAATCCCGGATGCTGGGGAGGCTGAAACAAGAGGATGGTTTGAGCTCAGTTCTAGGCCCGTCTAGACAGCATAGCGATCTTGGATTCTGCATCAAACCCTCATGCCTGATGGGGGATGGCCATGATGTAATCCCTTCTCCATCCTCCTCTTGTGATTTTGGGCACATGCACACACATGCACCCTGTGTGACCTTGAAGCTGCCAGGTCTAGGACTCAAAACAGTGGTCAGCCACGTGGGAGTCCTGTGTCTTAACCCTCATACTACCTGCCGGCTTGGCCCAGCATTTTTTCAAAAACAATTATTTATTTATTTAATTATTATTATTATTAAATGTGCCATAGTCATGAGAGAGAGAGAGAGAAAGTGAGAAAGAAAGCCGCTAAGTCCAGGACTTGAACCACAGTCAACCATGTGAGAGTACAGTGCCCCAACCACCACACCAGGTAGCCCTACCCAGCATATTTTTTAACCATCGGTCTAGGACTTGAACCATGCAGCCAGCCATGTGGGACCCAGACATATTATTCTCTCCGACGTGATGGCCTTCCATGCATTATTTTTAGGAGCTAATCAATCAATCCCTGGCAACACATTCCCTCCCCCAATACAGAGACCAGGATGTTAACTCCTATATTTCATGGACATGTAGTAAGTTTCCTTTCCTATAACCCACAGTAGCCCTGTGTGGAAAAGGGTGTCTGAAATGCCTAAGCATGATAATATGTCATAGTTTTATAAAATAATTTTGAATTGGAATGATCATCACCTAATGAAGCAGAACCTTTTTGTTGGTTCTCTCCCTGAAAACATACCATGAAAATCTTGAAAGGAAATCTTGAAAGGAAGGCCTATTGAGAGATTTCTTTCTTTTTTCTTTTGGAGAAGTTTTTGCTATAGGGCACATGCACTCGCCAGAAGGACAGAGAGAGACAGAAAGCGAGAAATCATCCCCCAGGGGGATGGCCATGCTGCAATCCCTTCTCCACTCTCCTCTTCGGATCTTGGGCACGCATGCACATGCGCCCGGTGTAAGTTTAAGCCACTGGGTCTGGGACTCAAACTGTGGTCAACTACATGGGAATCCAGTGACGTAGCCATTAGGCCAACTGCTGGTCCCAAGAGATTTCAATCTTTAGTCTGAATGTCATAGTTAAGTAGTTTCTAGGAAACCTCAAATAAGAAAAATACTTGGTTATCTGAAGATAATAATCTACTTCTAAACGTCTTTGAACTACTGCTATAAAGTGGGTTTTTAACATTTTGACATATTAATTATTTTGCAGAATGCAACCTTTGAAAATTAGACTTACTTATTCCTTCATATGAATTTTCCAAGGTGGAGTATGTTTTGAGTGTCCATTAAAAGGGTTTGTCAAGGGGCCAGCAGGTAGCATAGTGGTTAAAGGCGTTGGATTCTCACATGACCTACTGTGGTTTGAGTACTAAACCTGGATACTTGCTTTCTCACTTTCTCTCTCCGGTCAAAATAAAAATAATAAAATAAACAAAGTATTTTTTTTTTTAAATGGCTTGCCAAGAGACCAGCAATGGTGTAATGGTTACATCACTACTCCTATGTGGCCAACTGTGGTTTGACTCCCAGGCCTGGAAGCCTGAAACTCCCACAGGGTGTGTACATGTACATGCCCAAGATCCTGAGAGGAGAATGGAAGAGAAGGGATTGTCAAGTGGCCATCCCCCCTGGAGGGTGGTTTCTTACTTTCTCTCTCTGTCTGTTGTCTGGTCAGCACATGTGCCCTATAGGCAAAAATCTCAAAAAAAAAAAAAAAAAACTGAAAATTGTTTGCCAATCTCACACTTGTGTTTGTAAGATCTTGTCTCAAGTATAAATTCTCCAATTTAGAGCTCTAAATTTTGAAAGATGTCACATTCATTACATTGGCTTCTCTCCCGTGTGGATAACCTAATGTTTAGTGAACTGCGAGAAGATTAGCAACATTCATTAGTAAGATTTCTCACCAGTATGGATTATCTGATGTTCTGTGAGAGCTGAACATGCAATGAAAGATTTGGCATGCTTATATTTGTGAGGTTTCACACTGGCATGAATTCTCCAGTGGAGACTAATTTCAAATTTTCGCTTTAAGGCCTTAACATATGCAATACATTAGTAAGGCTTCTCTCCATTATAAATTAACTGATGGTTACTAAGCCTAAAGCGAAAACTAAAGGATTTGCCATGTTCATTACACAGGTAAAGTTTTTCTTCAGAATAAATTCTCTAACATCTTGCAGAATATGAACAATGATGACTTGGTCACATTAGTGACCCTTGTAAGGTTTGTCTCTAGTATGAATTCTCTGATGTCGTGCAAGTTTTGAATTGCAGCTGAAGACTGCCACATTCATTACATCCAGTACGGGTTTTCTGATGGTTAGTAAGGACTTTATGGACAATCAATGTTTTGTCATGGTCAGTTTGCAAGATTTCCCTCCAGAATGAATATTTTGATGTTTTGCAAGGAGATAATTATGACTGAACACCTTGCCACAGTCATTACATTTGTAAGGTTTTTGTCCAGTATGAGGTTGCCTGTCAATAGTAAGGGTTGAAGACCGATGGAAGACTTTGCCACAGTCATTACACTTGTACGGTTTCTCCCCAGTGTGAATTTTCTGATGTCCAGTAAGATTTGAACTGTGCCTGAAGAATTTGTCACATTCATTACCTTTCTAAGGTTTCTATCCAATATGAATTCTCCGGTGATACAAAAGGTGTGAAGGGAAAATGAAGAGCTTGCCATACTCACTGCATTCATAAAATTTCTCTCTCCTATAATTTCTCTGAAGGCTTGAGACCTGAGTTTTGATTACGCACCTTGTCACAAATATCACCGTCATGCTGTTTCTCTATGCTATGGAGTATTTGATGTACAGTGAGGTGTGAGATAAGATGAAAGGTTTTCCCACACATTACATTTACAAGGATCTGTCCTAATGTGTGCCTTCTGTTCTTCTGAGAATAATGTAGTAACCGTAAAATCATTCTCATACTGATGAGACCTGTGGACTTTGACAGCAGAAGCAATTTTTTTTTCTGAGAGGTTTTCGCTATAGTGTGCATGCGCTCGCCAGACAGACAGAGAGAGACAGAAAGCGAGAAATCACCCCCCAGAGGGGATGGTCACGCCGCAATCCCTTCTCCTCCATTCTCCTCTCAGGATCTTGGGCATGCACGTACACGCGCCTGGTGTGTTTTAAGCCACCGGGTCTGGGACGTGAACCGTGGTTGACTACGTGGGAGTCCAGCGACATAGCCATTACACTAACTGCTGGCTCCCAGCAGAAGCAATTTTTTGATGTGGTGAAACTAAGGAACCATGGTTGATAGACTTCTCAATTATGTTATATTCATAAATTTTCCCTTCATCTTGAAATATCTGCAGATTAGGCAACTCTAACTGAAAGCTTAATCAAAGCTGAGTTTTAATAGGGTTGTTTCCTGAATCCCTCCTAATATGATGCTCACTTCTTCCAGTTAGATTTTCTTTATGGGTCATAGGCACTTCTTTGTAATTTGTTCCTTGATCTCTCCACAGACATCTAGAGGTATGTGTATTTTTATGGACTTCCTTGAAGGAAAAGTCT